AGATCAAGGTAATCCTGCACCCCGGATACACGTGAATCATCTCGGGAGCACAGAGATTCGTCGGGTAGGCAAGCGTCCTTCCTTCGATAGTCGCTCGGCCAAGCGCTTCATCGTCTTCTCATTAGGAAACGCTCTTCCCGATAACGAATCATCAAACTTGATAACGGCTTTGTTACCTAATAGAGCAGCTTGGCGCTCTTTGTATGATATGTATGAATGTATGATATTCGAAGGCCCCAATATCCCCCCCCCCACTGGTTACGAGCCAAAATAATACGTAGTAGTATTAGTAGTAAATTGTCCGTGTCATTCGTGTCCGCCCACCAGCTAGGAAGAGATGGTGATAATAATGGATGTGACGAAAGGAAAACGGGAAGAATCTGCCGGCTGCTCTTTGTGCCGGGAATTACACCGCAGCTCGATGCTACGTCTAGCTTGTCCAAATAGAATTTGTTCTTGGCAAGCGGCTAAGGCTGCCTGCTTGCATCTGCACCCTATCGCGATGAAACCAATATTTCTGAGGGTTAATTGAGGGGGAAACATCGCGTCGTCGTCCAAGGCCAACTGCATCAATGACAGTTTTTTGGGGCCGCGGCCCCAATGGATAGCTGACTTCAATATTCCTTGCATTAGATGAAACGTCAGTAGGACCTACAGATTGAGGGTGCGGTCATATGGCACCAAATCCGTCCTTTGCCGGCATAGTATGGGCACAGTTGGCAAAGCCGAACGAAGGTACCTAACGCGTAGTAATAAACCGAACGCTACGCCGTAGAAACGGCCGAGCAAGGCGGGCAGATTCGCTGTTAAACCGGTCAGGACGCGGGAAGGTCAGTGATTGGTCGTGATCTGGGTGTTCGCAGATATTTCCAGCTTAGGCGTGTCTCATATCCAGAACCGCCGTTGTACAAAGTGCTCCAGCTACCCAAGGTACGGAAGGGCTCGTCACTTTGCCCCTGACACTGAGCGCTGTTCCCTTTCGGCCGTACCAATGATGGCCTGATGAAATTACAACAAGTGCCCACCAAGATTGGAAAGGCTCGAAATATCACAAGCTCCAAAAGAAATCTTACTCAAGGGATGATAGGATCGTACTGGAGTTCTCCAAGGATAAGGATCTCCAGTAGAAAGTGGTTGACTTGACAGGTAGGTAGGTAGATTCGCACACCTGTGGATCTTCCACAAGAAGAAAAAAAATCTCTCATCTGCTGTGTCTCCCCGGAACGCTTTCCAGTATTCACCGATCCGGGGATGGGGATGAAGTGCTTGTGACGCGGCAGGCAAATGCTCCAACTGCCAACTGCCGAGTATCATGAACAAGTTCTGTCGATCTATCGCCACCGAACTCAAGCGCTAGGGAGGCTCGAAGACCTGCGCGTGCAATGGGAATTAGGAATTAGGTTATCAGATGGGATGATATCTGCATTGTATGATGCTGTTTATGTTAAAGTACGCTACATGATTATAATTAAGCATAATGCTGCAGCAGCTAGGAACATGTTACTCCGAAGTCCCTTACCTCTCTATCATAGGCTAGAGGCACTATTCAAGTGACTGTTTACTTTCGCTAGTTATGCGGTAAGCTGAAGCTCGTAGATGATAATCGACGGGTATTCTCTTTACGGTATCCCTCGAGCTCCTCCTAATATAAACGGAGAGTGGATATGGCAACACAAGACCCGTACGTTGTGTTTAGGACCTGTCAAAAACTAGCCTTAGACTTTGATTCTGCCCTCGTGAAATCCGAATCAACGCACAACAGACGCCACAAAGCTTGTTCGGCAGTCAAGTCAACAAAACCAATATTGCTTTGTGCGAAGGTGGTACAAGACACTCTCTACGTCCCAGAGAAGTAAGCGTTAACGAGCACGGCATGCCCGCTAGTAGATATATTGTGTTCAACAATCACATCGGCCGTACCAGCGGGGAAACGCGGAAGTGTCGTGTATTGTTTGGACCCCGGAGAGATAGCATATCAGCCGATCGAAACCCAAGCCGAAGCCGCCATGAGGAGGACAGCCCCAGCGTCGTAGGTCAACATACCAGTTAAGGTTATTTTCGACCGTATGCGATAGTTCGGTGGTATCATCTGGGGTGATGCTCGGGGTCATCCCATGATTGCGCATTGACTCCACCAGGTTTTCTAATCGATGCTCGCGCATGGACCCGCCTGCAATCTCGCAGAAGTCTGGCACAAGGAGGTCAAAGCATTCGACAGTTGTACCAGGTGCTGCCGTGTTGTGGTTCTCTGCGTCTGCCTTCATGTAGAAAGCTTTGATGTCTCGTGGATAGTTCGTGACGAACACGGGACTATTGCCGTTGTCTACTTTCATAGCAATATATTTCTCATGTTCAGTGTGAAGGTCTTGGCCCCAAATAGGATTGTGAATAAACGGCGTTTCTGACTGCTTCAGCAGCTCGATGGCTTCTGTGTATGTAATACGCGGCCAAGGTTCTCGTATAAGACCATCCCAACGCTGGGAAACTTGTTCTGCTGTGGCCAGATCTGAGGAGCTCTCACTTACGCGTGCTAAGATTTCATTCTTAACTCTCGATCCGGCCAGATCGGTGCAGACATGTCTTAGCATATCCTCAACAAGGTCCATTAAGGAATCCAACCTGTCAGTAAAGCTTATTTCTGCCTCTAGCATGTAGAACTCGCTAAGATGGCGTGGTGTATCACTTTTCTCTGCACGAAATGTTGGAGACAGAGTCCAGACATTACCGAGGGCTTGAGCTAGAGCTTCCAGATGCAACTGAGCTGACACGGTCGTATATACAGGGCGACGGAAGAAAGACTTTGGTGTCTCAGACTCTGGAGAGGATTGAACAGGATCACCAGACGACACGCGGAAGACTTCTCCTGCGCCCTCGCAGTCTGATGAAGTGAAGATGGGTGTGTGAGTCTGTACGAAATCACGGCTGCTAAAGAACCTCATTAGGGATGCGATGATTTCAGAGCGAAGCCGTAAGACGACTGAATTGAACGGTATCCTCGGACGAAGATGGGGCATGGCTCTGAGGTATTCTGGAGTCTGGTATTTCTTCTGCAACGGGAACGTCTATGAAATGGTAAGCTATATCATGTAGAAATGTGAGGCACGGCAGCCAGGGATTCTAAGCTTCAACAAACCTTACCGTCGGACGGTCCCAAGACTACGGCTCGTTCAACTCGCAACTCATGGCTCTGTCCATGGCCTTGAGATGGAATCCAAGACCCATGTAGTCGGACTGCTGCTCCAATATTCAGACTATCGAATGCATCATCATTAGCAATGGTGGATATTGCAGAGGTTTGATTCAAACTTGGATCTCGTACCCTTCAGCCTGGTCAGCAGGTACTACAGCTTGGAGTGGTTCGAGAGAGGATCCATCGCCGAGAGAGACAAAGTGATATCGTTTCTGTGCACGGACAGACCGAACGAAACCATGAATATTCACATCTGAGACAGGTTCTTGCGGCTTAAAATTAAGAAAACCAGCGATTGAACTGGGGACGGTTGAAACGAAAGCGCGCGGTATTGTCCGTGATGAGAGCTTCAGGGGGGCTCTAGGTGACGCTCCTCTCAAAAGCGGGAGGATAGAATTCATCTCACACAATTTATTATGAGATGTTCGGAAAGTTCAGGTGATTCCGATTCATTCGTGAACATCATGGACACATACTAATTAAAAGGTTGTGTATTATGTGCTTCATTACATGACATGTCTTCTCTTATAAAAAATTATGGAATGCCTTAGGTATTAAAATCAGTCGTCAATTTTCGGAAAGTCAAGTTTATCCTAGACCGGGTTTTGAGCACAGACCACATGAACATACATATTCTTCTTTTCTATTAACTTAGGTAGGTAGTTAGTCATCATTCATCCACTTTCATATCTCTTAATGAAGATGAAGCCGTCTCGAGTTGCACCAAGCCTAATTTACGCGACCCGGTCTCATGCTCCGAAATATTCATTTTATTTTATTTATTTATTTATTTTTTACAGAATGGCTATTGCCAGGCATACTTCAAAGTCAACTGTTGCGTATTGTGATATAGGAAGCTGAAAGCACGACTGAAAGATAACAAGGTTGGAACTTACTTATTATTCAGCTCATGGACGACATCATACTACAGAGGGTCATTAAATAAATACTCGATATAGTTGTGTGAGCAACCTCGGCGTAGATCGTGATTGCTAAGTTCCCGTCACAAGGTATGCACGTCAATCTCTGACGAATAACGAAGACTTAGTGTTACTATTTATCTACGAGCACTCTTATCTATCTATATCCGGTGAAGCCGTCGAGACGGACTTCCCGTGTCTATTATGCTCGTTAGCTTTGCTTTTCCGGTGAATCCTCGCCAAAAGGGGCTTAACAACGCCCCTTATGATTAGCTACCTACCTACTTACCTGCCTACTTTGTACCAACCCCGTTCACGACTATCGATACAAACAAGACGCAGCCATCTTGCTTATTGTAGCATCTGCTCGCGAACCCTCGACTGCAGTAAGACGGCTAATAGATTCATCACCCGTTAAAAATCGTTTCGTCCGCAGAAGTTCTACGATGCTGCGGGCTTAGGAGTACCAGATCTGTCCGACTTCGGTTATCTGCAGTGCGCCCTGATCTTCGACTGGAACAGCGATTCCATCTACCTGGGAGCCGAGCTGTATCACAAAGACAGATGTCTAATTCTCCCAACCTACCGGAATACCAAGCTGGTAAAGACGGCGCGGAAGCGCTGCGGTGGGTTTATATTATGAATAGCGAGCCTCTTAACCTATTGTCTGAATTCACTTCATCTCAATGTCTAGGACATAGTGGACTCGATAAGAGCAATCATCTTGTATTGGTGACACAAGAGTTTCTCCCGTCCTCTGCCCGCCGTTGACCTGACTGGGACGTGCCTGATACCTCAGCGTGAATATGACTCCCATCCTATTCGAGGCTGTCAATGTAGGTAGATGGAGCAGCTGCATCCCGTCTCATCTTTCATATATCCTTTCATATATTATTTTATATAAAACGATATCGAAGCCCGGCTATTTGAATTAAGTCTTCGTTGTCGACTAGTCACTTGTTCATACCGACCTTCTGCTATTCTACCCGACAGTCAAGTCTCTTCATAATGCCTTCTTCAAAACCTAAGCCTTCCGAAGTTGCGGCGGAAACGAAGCGACATTATATCCCTGTCATAAGAGCGGAATACGCCCGCCAATGGCCAACCCATTCGTATCTGTTCCAGCAGCCGCTGGCGCAGATTCCGCTCCAGAGCTCAATCAGCGGGTTTTCTCCATCCCCTCCGGAATTTTGTACATATAACCTTGTCGTGAATAATATCTACACACCCTACTCTAACATAATATCCAGATGTTTGCTCAGGGGATCCTGTCGACTTTGCCATCGATTGGAAAGAGAAGGTCAACATTCGGATACCATTTATATGCGCGGCGAATGACAAGAGAGCCGGCGGCGACTGGGAGACGGGTGTAGTAAGTTTTCCTACATTTACATACTTACAGCGGCTACTATTTACTTATACGCTTACTTACTTACGTAGGTGGGATACGAAGAACGACTCTGTAGACGCAGTAATCTATCGGCAACACTTAGCACTCCCGGTCCCGGATCTGATGTCGAGAGCAACTACCCCATCCCGTCCGAAGGGGGCATCTATTCTGAGTTTGTCGTGGTATTCCGTGGGCCACACGACCAATACAAGAAACTAGACCAATGGTACGACCTTCCGGTAGTCTCGATGCCGGCGGCGCGCTGGCCCAAGTTAAGCCACGGCGGTTCCAAATATGCATTCCCACTGGAGCGCGAAATGGTTAGGAACAAGATCCGCGCTGCTCTGCGCATCTGCGTCTATTACGAGCACCGGACCGTCGTTATCGGCGACTTCGGCCTAGGTAACGGACACCGCAACCCACCACAGGAGCTCGCTGAGCTCTGGCGCGAAGTGTTCCTTTACGACCCAGATATTCGGGGCCGTTTTGACTACGTCGCCTTCGTGTTTGAGGACCAGTACCAGAGCACCGCGAAACTAATCCTCGACGACATTGCCAAGAAAAGCAGGGGCAGCAGTAGTCACAGTCACAGTCACAGTCACCATTCTAGTAGCTCGAAGAGCAAGTCGAAGGCATCCTCCAGCTCGAGCTCGAGCTCCAGTAGCGGCTCCGGGTCGACGCCAAGCGACTTCGAGATATTCTCGCGCGTCTTCGACCCCAGCGAGATCCAGGGTGTCATGAGCCGACCGGATCCCCGATACGGGATTTCTATGCTTACATCCTGAAAAGGAAGGGAGAAGTTCTAACATGTGCGGGACGTTGAGTCCTCGTACGTCATTACACAGCGTCGAGTGTTATACGAACCCGTGTGGGTGGATTCAACCCGACGATCCGGTCGTATACCGGGACTTTTAAGTCAATTAACCAATTCAAGGGCTGGGGGTTTTTGATTATTTATCGTCGAAATTGAGTAATTGTATGCGAGTCTTTGGATATAAAGAGTAAAGAATCGGTCGTTATGTTAATTATTCATGTATTCTAATCACTTACGTTGTGTTACCTGCTTCTATCACATAATGATATATCATAATATCATCTTAAACAATCTCTTATTATTCATTATGAAACATCATATATTCCGGTTACTGGTTCACTTCTAACACTTGAGGTCATCGGGGCTGTCGTTTTTAATTTTGATAACAACCTTAGTTGAGAGTTTATAACATATCAGGTACTGCATTACTTAGACGCATACGCAGATGGCTTCAAAAGGGAAAAGTCTTACTTCCGTTATTAGGAGCAGGTCGATCCTCTTACGTTTTCAACCGTGAATGTCTTCATGTGATAAAAGGATCGGCTAAGCCGGACTGAATCGCGATCCAAGCCCCTCAACGATCATAGACATGCAGCACGTAGGAGTTATCTATTATAAAGCTCGAGTCGCACGGATCTTACACCAATTCAAGATTTAGTAGCTATTTACGATATTAGAACTTGATTCTGTAAGTAAAGTTCGGAGTAACTAACGCCACATATACTACCCTGCAAATCTTGATCATATATCATATTAAACTATCATGTAAGCAAACGCCAAACTTGCATGGGAGTAAGACCGGTGTAGGGGTGGGGGTACTGAGAGAACGCTTTCTTTTTTCTTTTTCAACGCTGGCCGGGCCTGGGCTCTCGTCATGGAGCCGTCAAAGCATAATCATGAGGCTTATATGGCGTGCGGCTAGAGTTCCCCTAAGGGTCCAAATTACTTAAATTCTGACCGGCCTTTCAAGATAATATCACACCATGCATGCATAAGGTATGGAGGTATATGAGAATGAAGCAAAACTCCTAAGTAAGTATCTACCTAGGTAGGTATGAGAATAAAACGTAAGTGACTAAAGATTAAAGGTATAGCTCGGGATCTACCGTCTAGACCTTGATATCGTATGTGATGTATACGCAGCCACTAGGCGTCCGGCCATGGGATGTGCATATCCTGTAGGTACTGTTACATTTTACGCCATCTACGGGGAGCATCGGGCGTCGACCCTGGAGAGCACAGCGTTAATTTCATATGCGACCTACCTAACATCCTATCCTAGCCCTTACTCGAATGTCTTTCCTTCCTATATTAGGTCTAGGACAATGCGCGCAGACGTTTCCCGGTCTGAGATAGATAGGCGAGACCTATCCTATTGTATTCTACCCATGTGGGCTGAGCCTCGCCCGTAAAATATTTACTCCTCGAGGTTGTAAGCACGTTCTAGCCACCTAGCCTAGGAGATTAATGAGCGCCACAGAATCCTAAAGATATACTCCAGCTGTAAGGCGGCAAGGGGTCAAGTATCATATCGGGCCTTGAGAGTTGGAGTTGCAAACAGGCACACGCATTTCCGGATGCTCGCGTTTACATACTGGAGAACTTCGAAAGGTTTTTTTTTTGATTGGAGCCTACCTAGGTAGTATGCATAGGTAGCTGTTTAATCAGCACACGCGATATTGGTGACTACAACTTAGACTTCTCCGAATGTATGTCTGAGAAGTCCTGTGAGTTCCCGAGTCCCAGAACCATAGCTCGGATCCAAGCGCAAGGTACCGAAACATCTGGTCTCTGGTTACGCCATAAAGAAAACTGGGTAATTACTTGCGATGGGGAGAAAACTTGAAACTTCTCTTAAGTTCTAGAAGGCGAAGGAAAAGTACGAGCGGCTGATGATAATCCGGCTAGGTTATTGCCTGTCAGCGGGATGGTCTTGAAGATCGCGTATATAATAAGGAAGTCCAGAACCACTAATGCGACTTATAATAAGTCACGCCTCGTATTATCAAGGTATGCGATACTATTGAACATGGCAGGTCTATAGAGCTAGATAGTATCCGATTTAACAAGATTACCAGTGCAAATAAGAGGGAACGTATGCTGCTATAGACGTGATTAGCAGATGTGTGAGGCTGGCTGAAGTGTGATAAATCTCTTTAATTGCCTAGCGCGAGGCGTGATATGGCCTGGTCCATGTGAAGTCCTCTCCTTTGCAATTGTGCATTTGTCGACACGTAAGGATGGCTGCATATGAAATGGCTATAACCACCGCAAAGCTGCCCCGTACCTAGGTACTAACTTAGGTGAGTATCTAAGGTACCTACTCTGACTTGTCAAGTTCCAGCTATTAGGAGATAATCGCGAGAATGCACTGTCTTAAAGTCGTATGCAATGGAAGTGTAAGTCAATAATATCCGTGAAGTAATATCCTATACGTTCAAACGGGGCTCACGGCCGTTACGAGCCATTGGAACGGGCTGAAGTAGTCGGCTATTTTCAGATGTCTTGGATTGCACTTCCGCTGTGTTGTTTGCTTGGCTGTGGTCACAGGCGAGATGCAGGGAGTTTCGGCCGAAGTAAGATTCTTCTCGTCTTCACTAGGAAAGATGCACAGGTGTTTTTCATAAGACGGTTTTGCGGAAAATAAAAAAGTGGTGACCTAGAGATTGGCATGTCTTGATCGGGGAGCTTCGGTGACACGGATTTACATTGAAATCACAACAAAGTCAACTTGGAGAACAGGCTGGTCATATGGTATAGGCTTGATGCCGTTCCCATATTGTGAAAAGCATGACCTGATGCCGATGCGGTGTAACCTAAAGGCCGAAATACTCGCATGCACTCTGGGTATTAGAGTCGATTCTTTTTCAAAGTCTCGGTCTGAGGTTAGGTACACCTTTTAACCCTGGGTCCTTGGGTTCAAACCTATCTGTACACGTAACTGTTGATATAGGGGTATTCTACCAATATTGCGGCCTCAACCCTTGAAATGTTGACGCTAGTGAAGTATGATCATCGCCCTCCTTTCGTCTTTGCCCAGCCAACTACATCGAGCAATGTTAGTGAATGTCCTCCACCCACTTCTAAAGCACCAGCTAATTCCACCAGAACCTTCAGCCTATCGTAATGCGAAGGGAACAAGAAATTAACTTACCTCAAGTTGTACGCCCTTATGTATATGTACTAACCAGTCTACATAACTTTGCGCTTCGTTGTTCCGATCTTCAATTAGCATTCTTGCAAACTCATACTCGGCTCCATCAATTCCTTGTCTAGCTAGCTGGATCGTCAGCGCCTTGGAACCGCGCATGATTTTGAGGAACTCGATTATGTTCCGGACCTGGGCGTTCAGGTGTGTCTGTAGGACTGGTAATGAAGAGCTATACGGGTCGAGTTGATTGAGGCTATCCTTGCCCTCTCCGAAGAGGTCTACTAGTAGATTGGGCGATGTCTGAGAATGGAACCATAATAAACATTGTTGCCCATTATCCACCAAGTATACGCCGCCTGGCTCGACTCGGCTGAAAGATGTACGAACGGCTGGCGGAATCTTTAAATAGCCTGTCTGTTCATCGGGAAATCCATCCTCCGGGTTCAGATTATGAATGGGTATCATCCTAGGGTATAGGTAGAGACTGAGCTCCGGAGCGCCTATTGACCTAATCATGCGCATTTCATGTACCCTCCGGTCAGATGTTTCGTTGCCCCCCTTGAATGCTCGGCATTTAAGAAGCCCAAGCATGTACATTGATAACTCCTTAAGTTTCTCCGGCATAACAAGTTGTCCGGGAGGATGCGATTGGGATGAAAAGTTCTTGCGATACCCTGCTAATATATCGATGGTTTTCTCTGTTAATCCTAGTCTTATGTCTTTGAGGGTGCTAGAAGTCGAGGCGAGTTTAGAAGCAGCATCCTTAGCGAGAATCGTGTAGACAGCATCTTGGTCTACGAATTTCATGCACTCTCTCGGGTTGTCGCTAACGCTAGCGATCACGTTGGAACACCTTACTCGTCGTTGGCCTGATGCGGTTGTATATAACAAGGCGGATTGGAAATGGGCATCAAGCTTCGAATCAAGCTTTCCATCGTAGCCAAACGTTACACCTACAGCTTTGTCGGCATCTATTACACCTATTTCAAGATCAGCTCCGAAGGTATGCTGTATGAAGTTGCCATGGTACGCGGAGATTTGGAGACCATTGGAGCATCGGACTTTCATCAAAGCTTGATAACCTGTTTCCCTTGTGACGGTGTGCTTGATTTCAAGGGAGAGCTTGGTATTATCGCGACCGGCCACGAAGTTGGGATAGTAAAACGTCTCTCCGCCTGTCGTAGACGAGACATGGCCTTGGGCGCGCGGTTAGCTACGATGATGATAGAATCATGTCTTGTATGTAGACTTACCAATGGTAGCCACGTCCAAATATCCACCTGACGGAGCAGCCAAAAAGAAGTCAACACCAACTCCGGCCGCTACCATCTTTTCTGCAGCTTTCTTCCACGCGGGATGTTCGGTAGAGAAAAGTTTCTTATCTATTTCACCACCAGGATACTTCCCGTCGTCTCTCATAAAAAGCCGTCCGGGGCCCCATGTAGGTAAAGCCGACAACGAACATACAATCTTGCCTCCGGTCTTTTCCAGCGCGGCCAAGCATGACGTTAATGTCGGCAGTAAGGCGGGTTCTGGATTTTTAATGTCTGCAAACAGGGTCGGCAATCGCGTAAGCAACGACGTGATAATAGCTCTAGATTCATATGGGTCAACGAAGAGCCCATCACTAAGCGGAACAAATGGGTCCTCGATATCGGGCATGATTATCATCTGTGCCTGTTCTAGAGCGGGCTAACTGGTTGTCAGGGACACTTCTTTTCAACAAGTTAGCTGGATACTCACATTGCAGTTGTAGAAATGTATGTCCTTGTCGTATGTGACGAATCCGACCTTTGCACCAGCTGGGATTCGCCGTTTCGGCTCACCACTCTCATCCGTCTCATCATTCTCTTCTGAAGTGTAAAGCGCGGCAAGAATGCCTTCACAGAAAGCCTCTAAAAAGCCCTTATTGTAAGATTCCTGGGTAACATCAATCACAAATAGCCAGTGGAGACCTGTCGGCTCTTTCGTCCAGTACTCCTTAGGTACCAAGAATTCGACTGTTCCCCTTGTCAGCTCGGGTCGCTGATCCCGATCCACTCTCACACCCTGAGGCGTAGTCGCGCAAAAATATTCCGAAGGGGTATCGTTAGGGTATGTGCATAGATTGCACACGAATTTACTGCCCCCCGAACGAAACATCATGAAAGGGTTGATATAGGCACGGCATCTATGACACCTCGGTGGTCCTACATCACCGAAATCGAGTACAGGGACTTCCATTTCACCGGGCTGAAGGCGAGCTAGTGGTTGCAAGACGAGACCTAGAGGCAACCCAGTGCTTTTTAGGCCTTCCGCATTGGCTGGGATATTGTTCATTGTCAATCGCGTAAACTTGGGCGAGGAATTGCCTTGGTCATAGGCAACGAAGGAGACAGTAGCTGGGGGAGGCACATGACGCTCAAACGTTGGATACACATTGCTTAGGTAGTGTTGTTGTGCCACGTCTCTGGAAGCTGGTACACTGGGAATGTCGTCTGCCGAGACTTGTCCTCCACCCGATGCTGGCACGAACGTAGGCGCATGACCTGGATCCATCTGACTATTTCTCGCAGCGAATTCAGCAGGAGTCGCTGGGGCTGCGGGGTGGAAAGGGGCATTGACAGGCGCCGGGAACTGGTTTGGCGAAAGGGGTTGGCCAATAAACTGGTTACCGGCTTGTATAGATGGATCTGCGTTCAAGAAAGCCGTAGCCTGTGTCCCTGCTGGTGGTATACCATTGTATGCCTGAGAAGAGCCAGCCGGCGCCTCGACAGAGTGGAAGGCGTGTCGGTCCTTCTTCTTTCTCCTTGCCGTATGCTGCCCATCTCCCAACGACATACCTGCCATCTGCGAGGCGAGGCCTGTATCTTGCGGAGCCGCGAACCCAGGTGTACCAGGGACAGGCGGTGGGGGACTTCCATAATACTGCTGATTTTGGGGTGCGGGAGAGCCATAGGCGGCGCCTTGTTGGTAGGGATTCTGAGCAATGGGCGGCTGAAATTGAGGAGGGGCGGGTTGATTCGTTCGGTTGGGGTCATTGGGATCAAGCTGCTCACCCTGCCCCAATGCGTGATACATGGAGTAATCAGCCATGATGAAGGAGAACAGCTAGATATCTAACCGGGTATTTCTTCGTAAACCAGATACTATGTAGGCAATTTAATGCGATGTGTCTCGTCGCATACGGGTATTTCGAGATGTAGTATGGTTCAGTTCGGGGATCGGCAAATCATGAAGATCGGAAATGTTCCATGGTATCTGGTATCTGGTATCTTGTGTATAGTGTATAGGGGATAACGCGTAACCTTTAGCCGTAGCTGTAGCTGTATCTATAAATTCGGTGAGGCGATTGACAATAGACAATAGGACGAAGTAAACAGGGAAGCAAGCTGTTAGTTAGGAATTTGTTTGCGACCTTCTGTCCCGTCTCGTCTTTTTTTTATGACTACAGTTGGAATTGGCATCTGAAATCGAAGCCAAGATAGGACGGCGCATGGAACAGAGCCAGGGGCCGTAGATCGATGGAAATATTGAATTGAATTATGGAATTGACACGATAACATTCCGGTGATTTTCCGATAATTTTCTTGCTTTGGCTGCTTTGGCTGCGCTAGCTTTGGGGGCTCTGTCATCTGCCCCACAGACAGATCCCATACCCCACCTGCCTAAAGGAGGCTTTACTATATTTAGGTATGCCATACAAAGACGTTAGTGGTCCATGCACTTAATCAAGTTGTTTTTAGTCCAACTGTATTATGTTTGTTTGTATTACATGAGTTGAAGGTTAATAAATCCAAGTCGTACTGTTTTTGATATTATTTAACATTATACTAACAAAGCAATCTCAATAACTTTTCTCATGTGATATAACAAACTTAGAGATGCATATTTAATCCTACATGTAGCCAGGTAACCTTGACTCACCTATCTGACTCAATTATCATATATCGCGCTTTGCTTAAGTGATCCTCTTTGAGAATTATGGATCGAGATACAAGCTTCAGTGCGCATGATGAAGTAGTAAGAGTATATTGAAGATTGCCCTAATATATAAGTGCTCTTGTCTAATGGCAATTTCTGAGATTATTCTCTCATTAAACGAACCGACAAAACTTTATAACTACTAGTTAAACTTATTCATCTTCTACCAATCATGGCATCCCTTAGCAAAACCCCACTGACGAAGTTTGAAGTCTGTCTCTACAAGAAAGACAACATCTCATATGTAGATTGTGAAATGGACTACCGAAGTGTATCCCTTCCGCCAAACTCTAAAGGACATGGGCCGTGTAAAGTGGACGGTTCTTGACTATGATCTCATGTCAGTTTAGCTGCGTAGCATTGACAACATGCTTGCTTTGTATAAAGATCCCGAGTGGATTGAGCTCGAAGAAGAGGCGCAGTTACGATGTAACATAACTATAGGTCACTTTGTCATCGGCCATGAGATTGTGGGAATCTAAGGAGGCATCTGAGGGAAACCTATCGGTATTGTGGATATTGTGGAATATGAACTTGTAACTAATTCTGATCACTTTAGTGTGATTTATAAATGAATATATCTCATCTCATTTTTAAAAAGTTATCATGGTATCTGGAATATTTTCATAAGAAAACAAATTGAATATTATACCTATATGCATTTATCTCTGAATAGTTACACGCCTTATAAAGATATTAGATATTACGATGCCTGGGCAGGTACCTATTGAGATGGGTAAGTGAGGTAGGTACCAAGGTACTTAAACTACCTAATGCCTGCACTATTTGGACGTGACTAATTTGACGCGTACCTGCACAAAATGGGCAATGAGCTGAAGCTTAGCGGCTGCTTAGATAATACTAATAATTGACTTGGTACCGCGAATTCAATTGGAAGCATTCCGATCTTCCTTTGTACCTACAACACCTTTCAGTTTCCCCGGATTGGCGCAATCTTACATCGCCAATAAACCATCAACCATCCCAAGCACTGGGAGCTGGGAGTGTTAGAGAACCATCTATTAGGCCTCCTAATACGATGACGCAGTCATGTTTACCTTTAGCTCATTACAGGGAGCGCTATCAGAATCAGCCGCGTCGCAATCTATCCTTGAGCTAGATGGAGGCATTAAAGTTTTGGTCGATGTCGGCTGGGATGAGTCCTTCGACGTCGCTAAGCTTAAGGAACTAGAAAAGTATTCTAGCCCGGTAGTCCTAATGCTGTGATGCCATTATCAACCGGATAACTAACATATTTGCTGCTTATAGACAGGTGCCCACGTTATCCCTAATTCTTCTAACGCATGCTACAACAAACCACATTGCCGCCTATGCGCATTGTTGTAAACACTTCCCCCGTTTTACATCGATCCCAGTATATGCGACATCACCTGTCATCGCTCTAGGTCGTACACTGCTTCAAGATCTTTACGCCTCTACCCCCGTCGCTGCCACCACGATATCTTCTACTTCCCTCGACGAGGTTTCGTATGCAGCTCAACAGTCTTCCTCCGATATACTTCTACAAGCTCCCACGCCCGAAGAGATTGCGACATATTTCTCCCTAATACATCCTCTAAAGTACTCCCAACCACACCAACCACTTGGCTCCCCATTTTCCCCTCCCTTGAATGGTCTGACGATCACGGCGTACAACTCAGGTCGAACTCTTGGAGGCACCATATGGCATATACAACACGGGCTGGAATCCATTGTGTACGCCGTAGACTGGAACCAAGGACGCGAAAATGTGTTTGCGGGAGCGGCCTGGCTGGGTGGTGCAGGGGGTGGAGGCGCTGAGATTATCGAACAGCTACGAAAGCCGACTGCTCTGGTATGTAGCAGCAGAGGAGGCGAGAAGACGTCTATCGCTGGAGGCCGGAGCAAGCGAGATGAACAATTGTTGAACAAGGTCAAGGCCTGCATTACAAGGGGAGGTACCGTTCTAATACCTATTGACTCGAGCGCCCGAGTCTTAGAGCTGGCTTACCTGATGGACCATGCGTGGCGAGCAGATGCGGCAACGGGTGACGGTCAGCTAAAATCCGCCAAACTTTACCTTGCGGGGCGCAATATTCACAGTACTATGAGATATGCTCGTAGCATGCTCGAATGGATGGACGACGGCATCGTTCGAGAATTTGAAGCCGTAGTCGATGGCTCTAGGCGAGTCAACGGCACATCGGATGGCGCCAAATCTGGTAAGGAAGCTGGTCCATTCGACTTTAGATTCCTGAAACTACTGGACAGAAAGGGTCAAATCGAGAAGGTCTTCGGTAGCGAAACCGACGACAGCCCTAGAGCCGGCAGGGTCATCCTCGCAAGTGACTCTACACTCGAGTGGGGGTTCTCGAAAGACGTACTGAAACGGATTGCGCAGGACTCGAAAAACATGGTCATCTTAACAGAGTACCCATCCTTAGCCTCGGAGACACGTCCGTCCTTGGCGAGAAGTCTCTGGACATGGTGGAAAGAAAGTCAGGAACGCGCAAGTGAGGTCTCGAATGGCACAGATACGCACGAGCTCGAATTTACGGATGCAAAAAGGCAACCCTTAGAAGGTAACGATCTCGTTATCTATCAGCAATGGCTTGCACAGCAGCGTCAGCTTCAAACTACTCTTCAGAGTGGAGGGGCCAATGTGCTTGAAGCGACAGGGGATGTAGGCGATGAAGCTTCCGAATCAGAGTCGGAGTCAGAGGATTCCGACAATGAGCAACAGGGCAGGGCTTTGAATGCCGCAACTACGATGGGCCAGGCTAGTAGGAAAAAGGCTGCTCTGACAGACGAAGATCTAGGTATCAACATATTACTAAAGAAGAAGGGTGTTTACGATTTTGACGTAAGAAATAAAAAGGGTCGAGATAGAATGTTTCCACACCCAATTCGTCGAAAGCGTGCTGACGACTATGGGGAGCTTATTCGACCGGAAGATTTCCTAAGGGCAGAAGAAAGGGACGATAACGATGGCCAGGACCAAGCACAGATGGGAAGAGATGAGGATGAGGAGAAACTTGGAAAGAAGCGGAAGTGGGACAACGCTACGACATCTGGCAAAAACCAGGGTTCCGGTCCATCCAAAAGACCACACCTTACCCGCAACATCACCGATGAGTTTGAACCGGCATTATCCGATGGTCTTGTCGAAGACGAACTCGATGGGATCCCCGACGATCCAGACGAAACAAACTTGGGCCCGTCGAAATTAGTGTTAACAACGGAGACCGTTGCTATCAAGCTGGAAGTAGAGTTTATTGACCTCAGTGGTATCCATGACAAGCGAAGCTTGCACATGTTGATTCCCCTGATCCAACCTCGTAAACTCATTCTCATCGGCGGAAACGAAGGAGAAACCTTGACGTTGGCTTCGGATTGTAAGAAGCTATTAGCCGAAGGCTCCGTTAGTATCTACACGCCAAACGTAGGCACGGCCATCGATGCGAGCGTTGACACGAATGCTTGGGTAGTGAAGTTGGCTCCCTCACTTGTAAAGCAACTTAAGTGGCAGAACGTTCGTGGATTAAGCATTGCGACAGTTACAGGACGACTGCTTGCAATACATAAGGAGCTAGCTGTACGCCGCGACGAGGAAACCACGAACAAACGCCTGAAAACTGAGAACTCGGCTGAACTTCCAGTCGAAGTAGTGGAGGAAGAACCTGTCGAGCCCACACTTGACGTTCTTCCCACCAACATGGCCTCGGCGACACGGTCCGTTGCCCAGCCTTTACACGTAGGAGATTTACGACTGGCGGATCTGAGAAAAGCTATGCAGCAGTCGGGTCATACGGCAGAGTTTAGGGGCGAAGGCACGTTGCTAGTCGATGGATCGGTAGTCGTGCGGAAGACTACAGCAGGGCGGATTGACGTGGAAAGTATCGGTCTCCCGACAGATGGCGGCCCCGCTACCCAGCTTGGTGGTACTTTCTACGCCGTAAAGAAGACTATCTACGAGAGTTTAGCAGTGGTTGCCGGTGCTTAATCGATCGGGACACCACCGGGGTTTAATGGACGTCACGTGTATGACTACCTTGTAGGACTAAATAAGCGCTTGCGCTTGACTTTTACGACAGTCGCGTTATTTAATAGGCGATGGAATAGATTTTTGCCTCTTATTTCTTGTGATTTAGGACGATAGTCGCAGTATTTATGATAAGAATTAGTTACTCATATTATATTATACTTTTAAGTGATATCTAGGTACCTAGGTTAGGTATCTTTGTAAGCAGTTTTGATATCACGGGCAGCATTATCACCAAGCTTACGTGAAGATTATTACAAATGACCATCAGCCACCTCCTCGTAATTTTGATTTTTAAGCTAGTTAATATAGGTAGGTAGATAGTCCTCCTGGAGAGGAGAGGCCGTTATTATATTTATGAAGGGGTAATCGGATATTTGCAGTTGGATTTTGTTCTAATGACCTCTCCCTGGCCTCCTTTTTTCAAGCTCGACATGAATGAACATCCAAAGCACCGCTTTAAGGATACCAGCGAAGTAAAGTCTATGAACAATTAGGACATTGAGGATACTTGCACTTCACGGTGACAATCTCAGTTTACTAGTGACTACCTAGATTCGGTTAAGCAATTGTAGTTTGCCGAAGCTTCAACGAGCATATGTTCTACCGTGTCAAGTTATGTGGCACTTATTTAGGGGCAAATCCAAGACTGGAAAAGAAAGACGAAGAAAAAAAATACTAATATTTCGGGCTAAGCACTCCTTCGATAATAATAATTCGCTACGTATGAGTTTGTTGATCCCGTGGTTGGAACATTGCGAGGGGATTTAGTAAAGCAAGCCAATAAACCACATCAAGGCATCTTAGGTGGTGACATGGAATTTTTAGGTGTTTAAAATAGTTAAACTACGTCAATCTAAGTCGTACGCTCGCTCATGAGCACTTTCGACACTGACTCACGATCTAGATTGGCACGCTCTAGTTAATACGTTATGTAGCTTATATGTGGCATAAGAGTTTAACCTGATCTGTTGCTATCTATAACTATCTCCATAAAGAAAATTATAGGTATTGTTGAAACAGGTAATAGTCTGCCGTACACTGCAGTTGTTTTAGTAAGGATTGATGTAAAGCAAAACGATAGATCCCCATATTATATCTTGTAAATGGTATGTTTCCAGGCTGAAGATGGTGAGTACCTGAGTAGTATCTAAGAGAAGAGACAGGCTAAGTGTTCCGATTTAAAATATGGAGTAATCTATGATATTTGGGGAGCCATTAACTTGACGAGTTGGTAAATAAGGGGTTGGACGTTTTATTTTTTATTTTTTATTTTTTGCTTTAGTTTATACAATACAGTCACCCCACGCGAGGTTGTTGCTGGTACTATACCATGTAGTTACTGTTTATTTAATTTTTCATGCGATCAGACCTTTCCTACAGTCATATCATCCCGTAGAGTAAACTTAAGCTTGTTTATAGAAGCTTGTTTTGGTCCAAGCATAACATTCTTATAAGTTGGGTTGGATTCCCTTGTTTTTCAGTGAAGCATTTTTTCGGGCATTCTGCTGGGCATGCGGGTTAGATTTGGCCTGGTAGTTTCTACCATAGCTTATTCGAGATACTGCAGTACTCTCGACTACTTCTATTTTATATTTCGGTGATTCCCTAGGATATCTTGTACCGCCCCACTGGTTTGCTTCCACCTAGCAGCTTTCCCCAGCTAATGTCTAATTCATCATTCTAATATCTTATTGTGCATTGGCCATGTAGGTACCTACTTACCTGACCTGTATTATACGGCTTCTACTGCCAGAGAAGGTGTGAAGTCGCTGCCGGCTGCCAATACTTCATGACATCCTTCATCGTCTTATCCTAGAAGCATAGGTATATTTACCTACCTATTCAACCATTCAACCTAACGGCGTCGTGGAAGTAGTTCCTAGCACTTGCAAAGAGATATCACACCTTCCTCACCCGTCAAATATTTCGCACTTGCCCTTCCATTATTTTCACAATAGTCACTGCTAGCCTCGGGTTTTCCCACATCACCCATATCACTCATATAAAAACCAAGTATCTATCCACCTTGATATCTACCTTCACTACCTACCCTTCTATATTTCATCTCCCATATTCTAGGAAGCGATTTCGTTTGAGTGTGAAGTTTTTACTCCACGTTCCTACCGTTTACAATAAAAGCTCTGGTCTTGTTCGTCGCCGATACTCTATTTTACCCTCTCGACAGCAAGACACTTTGTCTTTCGGCAAATCATTACTCACGTATTTTTACACACGCCTCCTAATACGCGCTACACTTCGTGTCCCGTCAAGGTTTGTATTTTATATCTACTCAATGTTTACCATCATACCCTGTCGCAGACGGATGTCGATCTAACTGCCAACCCTAGACACCGCACTAAATCCCGTCACTCTGAATTCAGTCAGCAAAAATGCCGTCACCGTCGTTCCTGAAGTACGAAGAACTTATCCCTGAGCTAAAGCTTGAGATCTGGCGCCAGGCCTCGCTTTCTCCCGGTGTCCATTACTTCAAAATTAGACCTTGGATAGGTAGACGGGGAGCCGATCTTCGCGTTCAAAGGGTTGAGCTTACCCCTTCCGGTCAGCCGGACTCTGATCCCTCGGTATGGAGAGTTCGTGATAGCATTGCCAAGGCCGATAAGTACTCATGGGAGATCGCGAACAAACTTCTAAAAGGGGCATCAGCCAAGGAACTCTGGCGTCCTCAACGCGGAGATCATCCCGGCGCTGTAATTGATTGTGACCATGACCTTGTCTGTATCCGGTTCCAGGGTCTCATCTCCAACCCGTATATTGGACGCTTCGGCGACTTCGACAAGTTGTCGGGCATTAAACGCGTCGCGGTCGAGTACAAAAAGAATTGGAGGCCTTCCATCATGTACAATTGGCCCCAACCGACTTTCCAATGCCTATGTCCTAATACAATCCATGAGGTCACAGCAGTTTGTCCCAAAACTCTAGAAGACTTCATCCCGTACTTTCCAGATATCGACACCTTCTACTTTATGGTCAAACTGACTAGCCAAGCCATCAAGCCCCTTCCACCAGCCCCAAGAGGAAAGAAGCGAAGTCGACAGGGAGTTGTTAAGAAGGAAGGTGGCCAGCAGCCTGAGCCCACACCGATAAAGTCACAGGCACGAGGAAAAGTTGCTCAGATGACTTCAGAGACGTTCACCAAGTTCCGAGGTAGGTGCTTCTTCTTATACCTTACAGGGAAGAACAAAGCTGGACTTCTATTTTCTTATGTATAGAAAATATGCTAATATGCCTGTGTGATTTGCAGATATTGCGGAACGGAACAAACTCGACACTTTCGAAGATCGAGTGTACACCTACTGCGAGGTGCGAGAAGCTGACACGTCGTGCCTCTTTATGCACGAAGAACTATGGAAGGTCTTTAGCGAACTAAAGAACCTTTGGAAACTCGCCAAGACGAAATCACCGCCTCCTTACCCGGTCAGAGAACCCGAGCTCAAAGTCCTAGTCTACACCGAATTGAAGAAGAGGTAGCTGTATTAAATATAAGGGCCTATAGAAGGCGGCACTTTGGGCAAATCTTTCACCAAAATTTTTGATCACAGATAGGGGCGTATAGGTCAATGTCGTTGGCATCTAGCATATGACATTTCCGAACCGGTAGTCCGAAGCAAAGCCATAACAGGTTATCATCTAGTAGGCCGAGATCGGCGATGCGAGAGGAAATAAAAGTGGCTTGGCGACTTGCTGATAGATCATCCCCATAAGAACAATAAAAATGCCTCGGTCATCCGAATTTACCTAACATACCTAGGTACCTATATAACAATGAATGAGTCTTCGAATAATTCCAATATACCCTTCCCTTGTTAATTTTCTTATTATATTAATCTAATAATACTTCCACCATGGCAGTCCGACGTAAACGGATTGTAGATGACTTACTGCCCGCCGTACAGCTTGTATGATCTCCGTAAATCCTCCCCTAAATAATTTATGCGCGGACATGCTAATCGAACGACTTCCGCACAGGCATTCCGGCATTCCCGGAGCAGCATCATACAATCGTGGCTTTACGTGCCCTTTGGCATAATACTGATGCTGCTGGCCTGTTTTGGGGTTAATAAGTTATTCGGCCTTGGGTCCGTGCCTTTCCCATCGTCGGTGGCCTGTCTCATTATCCTTTTCGCGGCCCTGCTGCTGTCCGAGCAAGTTCTCGGCGAGCATCGGACAAAGCGCATCGTTGCTACTATTGCGATCCCGGTAACTAGGCTCGTTATCCTCTTCGTGGATGACCTTATATGCTGAAGTTTCATCTAGGGCGACTGGGCGCTGCGATGGATAAACGTTTTATTCACGCCTTCATTCGTGTTATTACCCCTGAGCCCGTCAATAGGGGGAATTGAGGTCCTTAAGATAATCGCAATCTTTGGTGGGTAACCAGAAATAAGCCCCCGGGACTGTCAAGATCTAATATACTGACTCTACTTAGTTATCGGGTTCCTCGTGATGATGGCTCTCGCCGCCTATATGACCCGGGCCTTACAGCTTATGCTCGGGTCTTCAAAGCGAGCTATGACGGAGCGAGCAGAGGAGCTTAACCCCGATAGCGAAGATATACCTATGACAGCAACCTCGGTGCGCCGGGGTAATTCAACCCCTCAGTCTGACGAGGTTGATTTACAACGTCCCCTTCCATCCCGGGACGCTATACAGGGGCATCAGGCAGACGATTCACAGTCAAGCCGCACCCTCGTAGACAGCGACACCGACCGCCCCAGCCTACCACCACAAGCCCCCATACCTCCATCTAGATCAGACCGTTGGGCCGCGACCATCACCACTAGGCTAGATCTTCTAATCTGGAGCGCAACTTTCCTATTCGTAGGGCTCCCCGTCTATTACGCCGCCGGGTACGCGATGCCGATGCACCTAAGCTTCAACATCCTAACGTACTTCCTGGCAATGTCCCTACCGGAAAACTGGCGACGGTACCTCCACCCGGTCCTCGTATCGTCTCTGCTCACGGTTTTAGGCCTCTGGGCCCTCGGTCTAATCAAAGGCGATAGCCTCCCGTCCACGCTTGCCGCGTACAAGACGGGTATCGGATACGCAGAGCTCTGGAGCGGTAGCCACGGGCTCCCGGGGGCAGGCAACTTGTTTTCTAGCGTGCTAGACGCCAGTATTATTTCCTTCGCACTGCCCGTGTACCGATACCGGCGCGAGCTGAAGCAGCACTTCGCCGCGATCGTAATTCCCAACGTTGCCATCTCCGTCGGCTCGCTGTTCGCGTACCCGTATATCTGCTACGCCATCGGCATCAGCGCTCAGCGTAGTCTCGCTTTTGCGGCCCGCAGCCTTACGTTGGCGCTTGCTGTACCGGCAACGGCTAACTTGGGAGGTGATTTGAATACTGTAGCGGCGTTAGCTATTATGAGTGGGATCGTCGGAGTGCTGGTTGGTGAACGTATGTTGGCGTTGCTTAAGATACCTCAAGGTGAGAGCACCCTTTCCGGATTTTATGCCTCGTTGTATTTTCCGCATTTACAATCGGGGACCATACGTATTTATGAGTTGGGACTGACCACTTCACTTATGCAGACGACTACGTTACTCGCGGTGTGACGATGGGCGCCAATTCGTCTGCCATTGCAGCAGCGCTGCTCCTGCGTACCGACCCGCGAGCTGCCGCGCTGTCAATTCTTGCCATGAGCCTATTTGGCACTATCACTGTTCTGTTTACGTCCATACCACCGATAACAGTTGCAATCCAGTCACTAGTACAACTATAATCCCCGGAACGAAGTTGGTAACTATCTAGTTTCTAGATTTTTGCTTTGGGTCATTGGGCACGGCTTATAGACGACTCATTTATTCAGGTGTTTTAGCCTCGCCCTAGGTTGATACGAGCTTTGTGAAAACATTTAGAATGTCCAACGGGTGTGCCGGCCACCCTGGTAAATTCCTATCGGTGGTCAGTCGACTCTGCTCCTAACGAAGCATGGGTGAATTTCGTTCGTTTAGATTGACTTACTAACTTAATCATCACATACACCATTTACAATTATACAGGAGGCACCCGAAATGAGCGGAAGCTTACTATATAATAGACATATATTCATCTATCTGCGTTATTATCCCGTAAGTACTCAGACGTCTTTCTCAGTTGACGGCACAGGTGGTTAGTTTCATAATAGTAATCCTTATATCTGGCAAGCCGACTTATAAGCAGTTCAATATTCCTACACTCCTATCGATTATATGAACTAGAGTTCCAGATTATGAGAATTGGTAAAACATAAGAGTTAGTTACCGGAACATATATTTTAACGAGAGTGATGCCTTCGTTGAAGACAGATTGGCCTTGGATACGTCTCGTAATTACCATCAAGAGTAATAGTAAAATAACTCAAAGTTAGCAAGTATCGTCACAGAAGCCAATAAGAGAAAACAAAAAATTTGTTTCCTACTTACCTTGCTGCCTCGACAGATCCAGAGCTAGCCAATGAAGCTTCATATAACAACGAGCCTAACGAACTAGCATGGCCTTAGAATAACATAGCGCGATTCAGCTCGGATATACATTAAACTCATATCTCACTTAGGTATCGAACTACGGCGCCATATGCGCATATGTATTAACTACCTAGGTTAGGTAGGTAGTTAAGTTAAAACTAAGTTGCAACATACTTCGTAAACCCAAAGCCTCCATCGTCACTAATAGAGTTGCTGGTAACCCCTCCAGAGCTGTCTGAGGTACATAGCTAATAAACCACATATGACGTCACCCGTTAAATCTGCAAATATATCCCGACTTACCAGAGGATTGGTTTTACTTACGTACAGAATATAACTAGGGAGATATCCTCATTAGATTAAAGCGAATATAAAATAGAGCGCTATTACGTATTCTTTACCTTCGTGGCATGCGTAAGGCACTAATACATACCTTAGGTACATAGGCGGGCTTCACACCCGTAGAAGCAACCCCCCGCGCGGACAGGCGGATTAACAACACACAGTCTATCAAGTTAACTAGCTATATTCCCATCATAGTTACCGGCTAACCACATCATCGATAAACATACTATCATATCGCAACAAGCTCGGGATATGATGCTACGAGGGCCCAAGACGTACATCTATGTGCTAGCTCGCCCATACGACATTTAGTGTATTGCAAACTCACGCTCGCTAAACTTAGCTAAGGACTGGCTTCGGACTAATAAGTGCCGGAGTTCTCTCGGCCACGATCCTGTCTGGAAACGGTAACCGGACCGCCGATCGCTGCGGCGTTAGCTCGCTGCCGTCAAACGCTACCTCACTAGCCACTGTCGTTAGATCTCGAAGATCCTCGAGCGATATTGCCCAGTAAAGCTGGTGCCCTGCCCTGCCCCGCCCCGGCTTGACATATGGGTGAGGCTTGACCCAATTCTGCTCGTCAGGCCACGTCCCGATCCTATTTACTTACATACGTAGGTACCAACGCAGTCGCTGTGGCAAGTTGGGTATCGCTGTCAACTCGGGGATCACACGTAGTGCATAGGCGATTCGTCGTCGGTGAGCGCTCATTAAGGGATAATGCATATTGGATGCAGAGCGTAGAAGATCTCTCCCCCCTCAACTGGTCTACTTATGAGGTATGTGGCAAATGCGGATGACTGCCGGATGAGGAAAGTTTTCTACCTGATAGAGCCCTGTCATTGGCTATTGTGATACCCTATTTCGGTCGGAAAGTCTCTTAGACTTGTGGCTCAGAAGTGGCAACTTTACGTGTCTCAAACAATGATATTAATCTATCAATACCTACCATAACGCCTCATTCCCCCTCCCTTTAGCTATCTGTTGCGTCGATATGATGTGGCTAGTGATCGCAGCGATGCCTGACCTCGTCGCACCGACATCGCCCAAAGAGGGAACCACCCCAGGGCGTGATACAATAATATGTGGCTCATCGTCTTATACTAGGATCATATATTCTTGTGGCGATAGTAAGCTCTATGTAATGTAGATATTCTTTTTACAATCCCCCTGCCCTGGGCTGTTGGCGAGCCTCTTCAGAATCATGATTGGTTCCGGAGCCCCTGCCGGTTGTCTAACGGCGGCCATGGTTCCTGCAGAGACCGTAGCAAGCCATCGGTGGCGATCATTAGGCTTCATACATAATTGCGCTGGATATAAAATCTACCAGTGCTGGGAATGCCTTCGCTTCTGTACCTCGACCTCCCTGCTCAGCTGAAATAAGCGTTTCCCCGAGTTCTCATTGGATCCAGGCCTGATGAGACATGCATATGCCGTAGATTGCGATACCACGTGGTATAAAGAGGCCTCACTATGTTGTATAGATCGGGCTGTTCATAATAATTTTGTGTAGACGTCTTATATTCCCGGAAAGTCGCATGGGCGTGGAACCACTAGTCGATAACTCCAACACTGGATGGAAGTCAACCCTAGGTTTGCGTTAGGGCTAGCACGATATACTTCCAATGCACTACCGCCGACCTCTGGGCATGATACAATTAAAAACCCTCCCTCGCTTGCGTGGTTTCCGCCACCGGTCGGCTCCGGTATGCTCGATCCGGATTCGCGGAGAGTCCGGAAGTTGTTATCGGGAGTCAAGCCTCCCGTAGGTCTAGAAGGACTGTGGCGAGTGAGCCCCCTGACTGACCCCTGATTGCCCACTGTTGTTGCTGTAAGTACCTGTACTTGGACCACTAAACAGGCCATCTTCTTAATACCTGACGGGGGTCTAGTTCGCAGCGCGTCACAGTTGCATATGCAGGACCCAATGAACCCCAAATCACAGGCTATAACGGTACTGTATTCTCTTCCCACGCGCTACAATAAATGCTTTTAGCTGCAGCTCCAGGGGTATACGTCGGCACTGGATGTACCTATTGAAGTAAACGCCACTAATACTTCCGATAATTAAACCCGCTGTAATGCAATGCGATACGCTGAAATTACTGAGGATGGCGCTAAAAACCCCTCCTACTAGGGTTTACATGTGGCTATCGTCTGAATCAACTCTAGTAGGGAGTCTTTGTAGACATTAAGTCAAGTAGCGAACAAATATATTACCTTCATAATTTTAGCTTATGCCGATATGAATAAGCTGATTGGCGTCTAGGATTTTTGCGATGTGATCACAAATCTCACTTTGAACCAGTTATTTCGTCTGCATGGTCAGTCGCACGGACGGTAGGGCACGATGCTGAGTTTATTGTTTCGGTTCCCAAGGGTAGCACAGTAAAGGCGCCGTGTCTGAGATCCAGCGCCATTGGCGTCGTTGGAATTTCTAATTGCTTACCAACCATTCGAACAAGGCGAACCCACTAGACGGGGCCGTAGTTAGAGAATATGATTGTAGAGTTAATTGTAGAGTAAATGCCAGTGTTAAACTGTTAGTAGATGCCATAGGGAGACTGATAAGAAGGATGGTAAAGTCTTCCCATGTAAGACTAAGACTACCTAGTTACCCGTCCTTCAAAAACCCCTAACCTAGAAGATGTCTACAGACTGGTTTCGCGAATATCGATGCGGACCTCTTAGAGGGGGGGGGGAGATCTAGAAGTGAGCTAAGTCTCGTCCCTGCGTCGTGTCTTAGGGTTCTATCAGCCGTGAACCCAAGTACAAACAAGGTAGTCAATCCGGCTGGGTTAAGATAGGTCAGGTACTTTCGCGACCTAATACATATCCTACAAGCGCGGGGATGACGGGACTGTCTTCACCCCAGCAAAGTACCATATACCTGACGGTTAGGTATCACTTGTTCTAATAACTTCGAGGCCCCGTACCATGGGGCTTGGGCACCAGTAGTATAAGACATCCATCCATTCAGCCAGCCACATGTCGAGCCGTATGTATGTACACAATAGACTAGACCAGCCCATGTACAGAACGCGCAAACCACTCGCCACAGTAGGGCGAGTTTGCACTGCCCCAATTCAACCCAGACGTCGATCATTATTTGTGGCTTTCGAGGCATTGGAATTTATTCCAACGTCAGTTCATTATCGTCGGAAGGCTGTCAGGGATGTGAGTACCAAGCCCGCGTCCACGCCGGAGAAATGGCGTGTATTTGGATAATGAGGCGGTAAGGAAATAAGCGGACATGAATAGTGAGGATAGCCTTGGGGGTCCTTTGATTGGAAAACCGACGGTCCTGCAGATAGTTGATCAGTTGCTCTCGTGTCTGACGAGAAATGACGCTTGTCATGTCGCCCGGTATCATCATCATCATCATCATTATCATCATCACCACCACCACTACCACCACCACCACTACCAACACCGCTACCATCGCTATCATCCCTTTTTGTTTCCCTCCTCCGAGATTATCAACCCCACACGCGGAAGCAGAAATGTTAACGAGAACGCGGATAGCTCTCCGAGTGAAGAATGCATTAAAACATAAAATTGCACAACAAGTGTTTAATTGCTAAGCTACTACGACGGAGCGGGGGCGTGCTTCAAGTTTAAAATGAATGATCTTGGAATGAGGAGTGGTTGTTAATGGTTGTTAATGTTTTGTTTCTCTTTCCCATGTCCTCCTCGTGTATATCTACGGGGAGGATGTTTCGATTTGGGGAAATAATCCCGGTCTGTTGTTTTAATAGGAGGGGTTAAACGGTAGTGATTGCAGAAGATTGCAGAAGATTGCAGATTAGAGAGATGAAAGGATAGGACCCGGCGTCTTGGAGCCGGAGTTCCGCGTGCCTTGTGGGGTGCGGATCAAAAGTTCCAGGCGCCTCAAAAGCGTAATACTACCTACCTAAGGTACCTAGGTACCTAGGTAGGTACCTATCAACCCCACTAGAGCCATGATATTTGGAGGTGCTGGTAGGTAACTGATAGGCCGCGACTAGGTATGTAGAACCTCGTTGGGTTGGTTAGGGCGGGCATATTATTTAGGTACCTTAAGGTACCTTCCTTACAACAGTAATCCATGCTCTAATAATCCATGCTCCAAAAACAATTACGTAAGCAAACTCAGGTGCATTATGATTGGCTCGTAAGGCAGAAGATAGAAGTATCGTCCACCCCTTACATTCAACAATTCAGCATTCACGTAGGTATTAAACACGAAATAACCTAAGTCTACGTGCGCCAAAGTTGTAGTTAACCAGGCACTTCTATCAATTCAATATTTACGTCGTTCTTTATTTCCGTACGATGCTGACAGTCTAACAGGTAAACATGTCCGGCTGCTAACTTATCACTTACACGGATAACTTAGACAAGTATGGCCCTAGCAAAAGGTCGGGTACCTAGGCCTGACATGGATATTGTTACAGAACGTTTTAATAAGCCTCCCAAGAGCCCAAAGTGATCTAGACCTCAGCCCTTCCAAATGCAATGTGACCATAGGTAAGGGGGTAACCTTGAAGATCCCGTCAATTAAAGTTTCCGTGATGCTTCGATGCTGGCATAATCGGTTTGATGAAAACACTGTTTGAAGGGGCATCGCCGTAAGGTGAGGAGATCCTACATGAGGAAATAATACCGCAAAATTAGGTAAACATAATACCGATCGAGATTGTCGTCGTAGACAGATTGGCGATTCCTGGGAGATTAAAGCGTCGTCACCCGGCTAAACTTATGTAAACAGTATCAGACAAGGCTTCTAGTATCTAGACGAACCAACCCTACGATAAGGCAAAGAAAAATGAGTAGAAAAACACATAGGCTCTTAGATCAGATAACTGCCTAATAGGGAGTTACAATGTATTAGTCGTATTTTGTATATACCAAAAGCTAATATAGTAATTAACAAAATATTTAACAGCAAGTCGTACAGGTCCTATAGCATCATCTCTATATTAGGTAGACACCCTCTCATCGCCCATAAGCATCCCAGGACCAGTCGCAGTAAAAAGGAAAAAATAATGGTAGGGTGCAATTAGTATAACAGTGAAAATGCAATATTTGTGGGGTAAGCTATAGAGGCCTGCTTCGCATGCAGTGTAATTCCCAACCGTCTTAGTTGACCTGCTAAACCTTCAATATTTCCGAGGTACTCTAGGCTTCAAAGAGCTGCGTATATATATATATATATGATCCAAGTGGGTATACTCCATGACCAAGACATTATGCTCAAGATAGCGTTTTGGCAGCGCCTAAACTCAAATAGATAATACAGGCCGTATCTTCTCTAATGTATATGGCATCATCAGTCTAAAAGACCCGAACGTCGGTCCGTCACAACAGAGGGATCGAAGAGAAACAAAGCTGCCCTTAAAGGGCATGGTATCTTTTGATGTGCCGTTCGAACTCCATATATAATAAATCAAAATTCCGCCGGTTGTTCGTTGGGTATAAATATTCATGTTCGTCAAATAAAAAGGCGCAGACCGGTTCCAGGACTATCTTCCCGCCCTAGTGTATAACCATTGAAAGTAATAATAAACTCCACACCATAAACCCTTCAACACCCGTAGAAATTAAAAAGTAAGTCGTAGTTCGTAGCCTGTTGTTGTTCGAAACGCGCTGTGCGTCGAGGCTCTGTCACCATCAGGGGCATCGACGGCCATCATCTCCCATTCTCGCTTGGGTTGAGGTACACTTCGATCGACCTCGGCAACGTCAAGCGTCATATCCTGACCTTCAGATACAGCCTGGATCACGTCGTCATCTATTTCTACTTCCAACCCACTCTCGAGGACATGGACAGCCCGCACAATAGATGAGGGGTCGATAGCCCACTTAGCCGAAATTCGCGACACAAACTCCGATACTGTTCTCTGGGTTAGGTATATCGCTCGGTGAAGTTCACGTTTCTCTGGCTCGGGTCGATGCCGTCTGGCAATGTAGAAACAGGCGACGGGCTTCACAGGCCTCTCGGTCGGTGGTTTGTATGTTGGATCGACTCCAAGTGCTTCTATCCAGCCACTCAAATTCCCGGCATCATCTGTTTTGGGCACCTTTACAGGCATCTCAGACGCTCTTCGGGAAGCTGATGGCTCCCCGCTACTTGGGAAATCGTTCCATTGAGTGGCATTGGTCGGTTGTGAATGCAAAGACATAGAACTAGGAGAAGGAGAGACGAGTGAAGAACCGGCTACCGAACTTCGCACGCTTCTGATTTGCCATGCAGCGGCGTCTTTAGGGTCGACTTTGGTAAGATCGGTTGGTTCCCCAGGGAGGCTCACAGGGTGCAAGTCTGGATCATCTAAATCGTCGCCGCGTAAGTACAAGATGCTCACAGGCCGCGTGCTTGTGAACATATCCTGTAGTGTCTGAAGTTTGAAATGCAAGTCATCCTCAAGCGAGGGTCGTGTATTACCACCACCCCCGCCCGCGGAGCTGGCTGATGACATCGACCAGGTTCTTTTATGCTTCGGGGCTTTCCCTGGACGTTGATGGTCTTGGCTCTTAATGTGCGAGCCACCACCTCGTTTGCGTTTCCCAAAATCTTTCGCCCCGCTTTCTGCTTGAGCAATCTGTTGCTTGAGTTTGTCAATTGTCTTTTTAACATGCGCAACATCGTTAGAAAGTTTTCGTTCTGCTCCGTGGTCCCTAAAGAGCTTTACTTTGCAGTAGCAGATTTCGGACGTCGGGTCTGGCAAGGGAGGCGAGTCGGTCGCCGATAAAATGCTCGTCTTGGCACATAGCCTTACTGGAATGCCTTTGACACCTTTAGAATGACTAAAGTCCGTCGAGAGGAAGTTGAAGCGGACCGCGATGTTGCACTCCGCGGCACCATTAACACCTGGAGTCCAGACGACTGAGAACCCATTAAAGGAGGCCGTCTCAAGTTCGATACGGGTTCGCTTGTCATCGCCCTCAGCTGGTTGCCCGGCCTCAACATACTCGACTGCCTGTAGCTTCCCACCTCGCTGGTGCGCCTCATTGGTCCCCCGGCCTTCTTTCCATAGGCTCCAGCAGACGCCAGGCTTTTGTCGTTGTTGGTCGTCTTCGAAGGAGATGCGTACGAACGTTCGATATTTCGTGCCAGGAATAATGGGCATACTTGCCGTGGTATCGATTACTGCCAGCGAGTAAGCTTGTCCCTTGTTCAGGTACGTCACCGGAATCTCATCCGCGTGTTTGATCATCGCCGTTGGAGCGTTCAGAGTCGAGTGGAAACGGAACTTGTCGGCCGAAGGTGGCAGTAAGTGAGTCATGGGGGCGCCAAATTGTCTATGTTGGAAACCAATAATATTAGGCGGTGACTGTGAGTGGAATGTCGCACCCATAGAGCCTATATGATCCTCGTGACTATCAGAATCGAAAGGCGACCCGTCGTGATCCATCGTTTCGTAGCCGGTATCCTGGTGCACAAATGATGAAGGTGCAAACGAAGCTTGGGGAGGAGTCGGCTGGATAAACGGGTTGTAAGACTGTGGGAATTGATGCGGCGGTATGCCGTGATGAAACTGAGTGAGATCCATTAAAGCTGGTCCGGCCTGTATGGTACTTTCAGTTGTAGGAAGTGATAACGGAGTTCCGAGTCCCATCCCTAGACCCAATGACGGCGTATGCAAGTCGCCTGCTTGCGGGTGGTAAAGCGTATTGGTGCCGCCGGGTGTAGGCGTGTAATAACCCGGCGGTTGGTTTGCAAATGTGCTGAAGGAGAAGGAGTTGGGATCTAGCAACGAAGGGGTAAACCTCCATTCCGCACCCGAAGCCCGCGGTGTAGGATCCTGATCTCGGAACACATCTTGACTTGTGCTTTGATGTCTAGAAATATTATCAGGATTAGTTTTGCCATTTTATTTATTTTACTAGCGTCTTCTAATACCCCCCCAGTAGCAGGATCATGTGTATCAATGCTGGAGTTATAATCGAGCTGGGGGCTACGGAATACCCCGCGCTCAAGCTTGTCGAAAGCTCTAAGATGCGCTTGCACCACCTCACAATCGGACGACAAGACGCCAGCGGGAAGAATAAAAGGGAAAGTTTAGGCGTCAGGGGTGAGGGGTGATTCTGAAAGAAATCGCAACATACTGTTCTTGGCCCGGCGGAACAAGAACCGAGTTGTCAGCAGTTACAATATTTGGTGCTGGCACTCCTGGCGCCGAAGACGAGGTTACCGACGTGATCTCAGGAAACTGTTGTCGGAAATTGGCAAGCAACTCATCGCCAGGCTTTTGTGAGCTTGTCCTAGATTATGTGTAAGTATGGTTAGCAAAGCTGAACGAAAACCAGGAATTGTCGCATATAGACATGGAATACGGCATAAGCCATAAGGCATCAACGAGATGGTGTTGTTTTCGTAACAACCAACCGGACACACGCAAGGGCTAGCCATGGTTGAAGCACGATATTAAGCATAACTTACCTCTGGCGAAACATCTGGAAAAGACTTAAACAGGCGCTGTCGCAAGACAGCTCTGCCAACAGGTTTGCAAAATAAGCCCAAAATGAAATTCTTTGATGGAATTTGATTAATGCTCGAGCAGAGGCATGCGAACTTGAGAGATGTCCGCGGTGCTAAACCCTGCTACGGAGGCGGCGCAAAGTGATAGGACGAATTGCGTATAAGTGAATTTGAGCAGACGGTGGCGGGTACGTGAATGTATGTTGTTTCGTGAAATTTTCGTCGGCTGTCAATATTAAACGATAGAAATATCGTGGAGATCGGCGGCGCGGCACGGCGCGGCGCAACGTCTAGAACGATCGTGAGGGGAGAGATAGATTGGGGGGGGCTTGTGTCAGAGTAATGAGTCTAACAAGCGGTAAAAATAGAGAGAGAGAACAGAGGTAGGTAGCGAGCGGAAGGATTAATATGAATAGACACTGATTTGATAGGTTCCTAGGAGGGCGACCTGGTGGTAATATAGTACGGCTCACTAAAAGAGTGCGTAGTGGGTACTTGGACTTTAACGTGTTCCAGGTGGAATTGGTAGTACTTGTAAGAAATTCGCAATCTTCAACTAAGTCCCAACTTGTCGAGTTCTCTGGACTGCTGGGCTGGGCCGGGCCGGCCTGGCTAGCTAGCTACGGTCTTGTACGTATTTGTATAACGGCTAGGGTGCTGTCAGGGTCCAGCGGTATCAGTTGTGGTGGCGGTAATGCCAGTAGTGGTGGTATAAATTAGTACGAGCATAGAAGAAGTATAGGTGTAGTAGCTGTGTTAGGTCGTGGGTTTATGTATGGTATGTATAGTCATGGGACGGTGAGATGCGGATCGAAGACATTAGAGGGCCGGGACTCAGAAACATTAATAAGTTCGGACGAAAAGAGAAGGAGTACGGGAGTACAGGGGATGCCTGAGAACGGATGGGACTTAAGGTACCGTAGGTAAGGTAGGGCAAGGTATGTAGGTAAGGTAAGGTAGGTAGGCTCTGGAGAGCGATTGTGAGGGGGGGCGTGTAGCTTTGTTAAACGAAAAGAGGAGGAGGGGTGTATTTCAAGAATATTTCCACCATTGCACCGAGATGGTAGACGCCGCTGCGCAAACTTATACATGGGGGTATGTATACCTGTCTCTTCGCAAGTCGCAGTCCCAAAATTCCATGTACAATGACACTTAGGTTGGATTAGGTAGGTAGGTAGGTAGGTTAGATTTCCATGCGCTACCTTTTTTTTGCCCGAGTTGTCTTCTTGCCAACCGACGGTGTTGGTCGTGCACCAACGAGAATTAGCCTTAGTACGATCTCGTAGTAAAAGAATGGGGGAGGTGAGAAGGTAGGAGAGGTGGGAGTTGGGAGTTGGGAGTTGGGAGTTTGCGCGATTGTGGGAATGGAAAATGAGTGGAAGCTTCAATACAAGGTACAAATGTGCCCACCTTAGCTAGCTTAAACATTGGGTACACCTTCTCTAAAAGTGAAGGGATGATAGTCCGGGGCAGATGTAACAGATACTGCAGATACTGATAGATCTAGGAACCTCCAATTCGAGTCCCATGTACCTTACGTACAAAGTACGGTACGTACCGGTACATGAATTTCTTATCCCCTAGCAGGTAGTTGCCCCCCCCCCCATAGAGGCTTGTCCGTACTGGGAGGGTGGGTACGTACCGGGACGGAGTCTAGCCGGAAGTTGAGAATATACAATGGACATGCAAGGTCCAGCCAAAAAGACTTCCGGCGCCTCCATGCCTTACAGTTATTGCTCCGTTTTACTGTGGGTAATGTTCTAATAAAAGAGAAAAGAAAGAGAACAATAAGCATTAAAAAGCAAAAATCAAATAAAAATCATATTACGTAACGTTATTATATTAAAACACCAAGCTACCCTAATCCTGTCTAAATTAATATAATTCTCACCATAATAAAAACGGAAATTTGGTCACGTTAGCCTTTGCACGTGTACTAAGCATCTCTTATGTTATTATTTGTGCGCTATAATATTGACGAACATGGTAGAGAAACGGACATCAGCTTCTGTATCTAGACCTGACTACTGCATTAGCCCCTGCGGCTGACCCAGATTAAGAGACGTGGCTAGCATATGATTGTCGGCTCCGGCATTCAGCTGGCACCTGCGCTCGGATGGGCCTGATCGTGTCGTACGTGTACCCGCGGCATTTCAGACATGTCCCGCTGTAGCCAGTCCTCAGTTACAGAAAGGGGGCGGTGTTTCTAGGTGGCAAATGCTGAAGGATAGACGATACAACTGAGCGCATATTATACGATATACTGGCCGCTTTATGCCCATTAGCACAGCTAGAAGAAACATTATAATAGAGTTTTGGGCCGCTATTAACTATATGTCATCATTCATTCGTTGTCATTTCTTAATAAGATGTATGTGAAATGTAGAATAGCACTTATACCAGAAGTATGTATGAATCATTTAAGGTTATCATTTATCGTAGCGACTTCTCTAGTTTTGTCAAGATATTTATTTCATCAACATTGCCTCCACAGGCAACTTTATCTGTTAAACTAACGAAGGGTTGACATAATTACCTACCTATGCACCTAGGGGGGCAGCGAGATGACCCGTACGCGTTCACATCGGTTTTAAAATATGCCATAGTTTAATTCACACACAATTTCATAAACATGCTGCTAGATACTCGCGTACATTACATTTATAGAATAACAAATAAATAAAAAGGAGGTCACGTTACAATTCCTTGAGACCTAGCAAGTGAATGCTTGGCTTATGTCTTAGCAGCTGTCAAGCGTGCGATGTTTTCTGCTTGGAAAGATATTGGTACCTTTTAGCTACGGCTAATGGGTTATTAGCGTTGTCATTAGAAGTTTAGGAATATTGGGGGGAGCTAATGAGGGCATCGTCGATCTTTAGTTAGATATGTTTGTCGACGGAGGCTCATGATAGACAAAGTAAATTATACGGGTTGCAAGCAATATGTTAGAGTCGGTGAATTGACTGCATAAGGCATATAAGCTATGGGGTTACTCCCGCTTCTCGTTTCCGGCAACGAGGATATATTCTTAATGGCCCATTCCGTGTGATCTCTCGGTCGATTGCACTAATCATTATGTATGGCAGCAAGACAACTGTCGTCACTCCCCACGAGATAGCGGTAGTAGTAGCCTTCTAGGGAGGCCTCGCTTGGCTGGGGCAATTTCGATTTACCTACCGCCGAACAATCCTACGCGGCGTCCTAAAGGGCTAGTACAAGTGCAAGCGACTAGTTTAACGCCACTGTTTTCTACTGTGTCCCTTTTAATCTTCTCATGGCGCGATCAACGCGTGGCATGTTTTACAGATTGTCAACCCTAATTCGCGCGTGCCGCCAAGTGCTGAACGAGAATGGTGTCTTTGTATTAAATATCTTGAGAGGCGAGCCCAGAATAATGTGAAAAGGAAACTGTAGACTTCTCGTGGCGTCCTAAGCCTCGGCATACTAGACCCAGCCAGCCTCCGAGCCTACCTGGATAGAGAGATGGAGAAAGGAACATTAATTGGCCTCTGCACGAGATAGCATATACGTAAATGTCGTGCTTGGGTAATTTAGAGAGGACCAAGGAAAGAGAAGAAGAAAAAAAAAGGAAAAAAAGCGAAGAACATACTGGTGGAATTGTTAATGATGGATGATAATCATCCGGTAAAGAGGCAACAAACTATTTTGGCTACATATGTTAAGTTTGCGTAGCATGATCAACGTAAGAAATCCCCTAGCGAGCAAGGTAGAAGAAGATTGGTAGCTGGGGGGGTCTTTGCATAGATCTGCCCCCGTGTTTATTTTTAACCCTTGAATAATTGATTAGGATAGGGCAGTAATGGAGATTCCCGCGGCGTTGTAACATCACGTGGGGTGACGCACTTCTTGTGGCTTGATGATTACCTATCTTAGGTAGGTTAGGTACCTACCTCCTAATTCTTTCGCAAGTCCAGTATTATTACCTACCTATGTTTCGACTTCCGGTACCAGACCCGTCTTTAAACTCTTGTGATACGGCGGGAATCTACGGCGATGAGATGCGTACCTGCCTTATTTACCTAAACTTTCATCTATACGGGCAGGTATGTATGTTCATTACTAAACCATCGAGGATACAACGTACTTTCTGAGCTAGTCTTAACATACCTAGTATAGGTAATTCCTACTGCCCTTTTTTCTTCCCGTTGCTTCCTCCCCTCTCCGCCCGTTATGAGTGAGGTCCCGCCATCGCCCGCTCAATCTCCGCAAGTCGGCTCTGTAACCGACAGCCTATTACGATCCTTGATACACTTTTGTTTTTTCAACTCAGTCCTCTTTTGGCCTCTTCCTCCGCCGCTACTCTAGGATTTCTAGGATCTCTAGGATTTACCATAAAGCCGGCCCTCACCCAAGCAAAACCGCGCGCGAAAGAGATTGGGGTCTGTGGAGGATGTATTCATGCAAAGGACCCAGAGCTTATTTCAATTTGTCTGCAGGAATCCACACTATGACGTCATGACTTATCAGTCAGCGTACCCCTCGTCTATCACATCTGCTTATCCCCAGTTCCCCCAGCTCGAAAACGGTCTTCACCCGAAGTCAAGCGTTAGATCCGGCTTTGAATATAGCCCTACTCTAAAAAGAATATTAACTACCACGTCTAGCTTCGCAGAATTTCTCGGGCCAACGCTGACAAGGTCTTAATATCTTAATATAAGTAGGGTAAATGCCCGAAAAGAGGCTCTGGATACTATTCTCGGCGTCGGTTATATATCTACAGAGTTCGAGGTAAAGAAGAAAAAAGAAAAAAAGCTCGGCCCTCTACACCGTGCCGACCGCTCCATATGCTGGTACTCGGCATAAAAAATAAGAAACCCGCCATGTAGCGGTCAAATCCCCAAACGGGACTTTCTGACGCTAAGGAGACGCATATGCGACTTCAAGCTAACTTTACTTAGAAGCATCCCGCGTTATCTCATTCTCTACCAATAGGGTTTTGAGCTTCAACTCTACACTTCCGGCTGTCTATTAGCCAATAATAAATCAATATGACATTTTATAACTATTCGGACGCAAGCGCGTAACGACAATGTTTATCAATATGTATAATGCATGATAGATTTTAATCCTAAGCGCCTTTTTAATCGCTATTTAAAGCGCAGCCGCCGGGTTACGATTGAAATAATTCCGCGTTTAAATTACAATATATACCTTTTTTAGGAAATTTTCATTTATAATGCATCCGTACCTGGCAGACCGGCAATCTACGGTTCTAGATCGAATTAATAAATAGCACATGATGGTTGATTGAAGGTGATTAAAAGCGATCAAGACTTATACTCGTGCTACATCAAATATGTGGTTATAGAGTATGTGCCGGTGCTGCCCATGCGCGACGCGTCGTCTTATTAGCTGTCATC